TAAAACATCACAATGAGCATAAAACATTACTATCAAGTATCAATCAAGAAGGTAGTCATCACAATTTTTCATCAATAGAAGATAGAGAAATACACAAACTTATAATTCTCAATTTTTTTAAGAAAAACAAAGTAATTGAAATAAATTACTAGTAAAAGTTTGCATTTCTTCTTTGAAGAAATGCAAATAAGCCCCCGTACTATGTCGAAAAGTCGATTAGGCCCTCGTACTTTACAAACACTCAATTAAGCCCTCGAACTATTAAAAAACGTTCAATTAAGCCCTTTTGGTCGGTAAGTAACCGGTTTCCCGGTTAAACGACGGCGACGGCGACGGCGACGATGTGCTCGAACCCCAGCAACGGCGGCTGCCGGGAAACGGGTTACATTTAACCGAGAAACCGGTTACTTACCAACCGAAAGGGCTTAATTGAACGTATTTTAATAGTTCGAGGACTTAATTGAGTGTTTGTAAAGTACGAGGGCCTAATCGACTTTTTCGGTATAGTACGGGGGCTTATTTGACATTTTTCCCAAGAATTTTATCAAACACCATAAATACATTCCAAATTCCTATCGATATTAGACTATAAATTTCTCATATTCATAAGTCAATCTAACCGGACAAATACTAATTAGATACAAACGATCTCAATTAAGTATCATGCCTCAAGAAAAATTACCAAATATTTTAATAACCTGCAAGGAAAATGTCAACAGTAATCCATTTGGATTATATGCTTAACAACCTTTTTCACTAAATTATTGAGTTCAAACTTTGTCCTGCGGCCATTGAGCCATTGCATCCGGCACATGTAACTTGATTTTCCTTATTTAATTAAGTGAGTTGTTTACACAATCAAAATCACTTGGATCAAGGGAATTGTAATTGCTAGGCCTTTGAAAAGAAAAACATACAGAAATACTCAAGAACTATCTTAATCACAAACTATAATGATACATTGAAAATATCTTTACCTGGACACTGGAAAGTGGAGATGATGGCTCAATGAAGGGAATCCGACAACTATGGCCATCGTTCCATTGAAGAGAAGAATGAGTCGTATACTCTATTAGGTCTCAGTGGACTAGGCGAAGAGAAGACATGGCCGTACTCTATCAACACACCTTTTTTTAATGTATGGGCCGAGTAATCTGTTACCCTAGGCGGACGACTACTCCGCAATTACTCGGCCGGGCTGCGCGGCCGGCTAGTCGGTAGAGCGATTTTAGGGACGAAAACAATAAAATCTCTGCAGCAGCTTGCCGTCTAGCGATTATGCGGCGACTAGGCGGCCGAGTTTTCCGAGTTTTAGAACCATGATTGCAATATTGTCTAACGAGCTTGTAGAAGAAAGTGAGTTAAAAGTTATATGAAAAAAATGAAATCTAAGGTAAAATGGAAGATATGCACGACATATGCATAAAGTTGGAAAATAAAATAAAAAATTGGACTCGTGCGTAAATGTATGTTAGAGACCAAACATATAAGAAAAATACAATTTATATTATGGACGAGTTGGTATCAGAGCCACAAAAGGATTTTAATATTATGGACGAACATATAAGAAAAATACAATTTATAGCAGAAAAATCATTAATACTCCCTCCGTCCCTTAAAGGTTTGTCATGTTTGACCGGCACGTAGAATAATAAAGTAAAAGCTGTGTGGTAGAGATTTGTGAAGAGGAGAGATAAATAACATGAGCCACAAATTGATTGATTAAAATGGAAAGTGACAAAGTTTTTGGGACAACCAAAAAAGGAAAGTTGGCAAAGTTATAAGGGACGGAGGGAGTACATAACAAGGATATAAACCAACATATTATCAGTTGTCGAAATAGTTTAGCTATAATACAAGAACAAAGAATAATAATAGATGACTTAGAAAAAAGATTAGAATTAAAGGATAAACAAATAAATAAACACTATGACGAACAGAGAAAAATAATGGAAGAAAAATTACAGATGCAAAGAAAATTGGAATCTACAATAAGGATGCAAAAAGAAATTATAAAGGAATGTTATTCACAAATTAACAAATTAATAAATGAGTAAGGGTAGGATTTGGAATTAACGAATCAACGTATTACAAATGCAAAGAAAATTGGAATCTACAATAAGCATGCAAAAGGCAATTATAAAGGAATGTTATTCACAAATTATGATATACGGAGTACTTAAATTTATTAATGGGCAGTGTCGGTTCAATTATGTACAAACACGAAAAACTTTCAAACTCAAAAAAACAAAAATCACAAAGTAAAACAGTTTTTATTGCGCGGAAGAGAGAGACCGAAGAGAGGAAACAGTAGTTGACAAATCCTAACTTGTTACTCCGTATTATTTTTTAATTGGATTATACGAGTATTTTTTTAGTCTGGTCTCGTTTCGTTTGAACTGATTTAATGTTTTTAAGTCACCTCCTATGTACCGTAGTACGCATATTTGATTACGGCACTGTATCGGTGTATCAAAAGTGTCTCCATATTAGATAGGTGCCGGTACTCATTTAAAAAATGGGGTATGATACCTACCATGCATTTGATTGGTCCAAATCATTAAATCTCTTTTAATTTAGATTTAAATAATTCAACTGCATAGTCCCCTTAGGGTTTGACACGGGATTTAATAATAAAGTAGTAGGGTAAGTATAGAGTGTGTAGGGTAAATAATAAAGTAGGAAAGATGGTATATTAAAAAGAGTAAAATGATGATAAAGTAGGAAAAAGAGTGTATTAAGAAGAGTAAAGTGATGGTAAAGTAGGAAAGAGAAAGTAGTTTGTAAAAAGTAAGTGGGGTAAAAGTAATAAAAATGAGGGTATTTTCTCAAAAACTTTCCTTAAAGGGAAAGGAGACAAATAAAAAAAAAACGTTCCAAAAAGGAAAGAAGAACTAATAAAAAAGAACGGAGGGAGTAAGAGTCTTAAAATATTTATTAAAACTTTTAATTTTTTTTGTTTTTAGTGTTTTACTGTATTAATATTTATCTTTATTGAGAATGTTTTGTCCGTGAATTTTGAGTAAAGTACTCACACTTTGAATTTCAAAAGAGAATTTACCCTAAATAGGACTAAAAACGTTTGTAAATTTCAAAATGGGATTGGCATGTTTTTAATTCCCAAAATGGGACTAATTAATGTCACGTTTTGGCAGTACCAAATTATACTACCTCCGTTCTTTAATATTAGTCCCCTTAGGGTTTGACACGGGATTTAATAATAAAGTAGTAGGGTAAGTATAGAGTGTGTAGGGTAAATAATAAAGTAGGAAAGATGGTATATTAAAAAGAGTAAAATGATGATAAAGTAGGAAAAAGAGTGTATTAAGAAGAGTAAAGTGATGGTAAAGTAGGAAAGAGAAAGTAGTTTGTAAAAAGTAAGTGGGGTAAAAGTAATAAAAATGAGGGTATTTTCTCAAAAACTTTCCTTAAAGGGAAAGGAGACAAATAAAAAAAAAACGTTCCAAAAAGGAAAGAAGAACTAATAAAAAAGAACGGAGGGAGTAAGAGTCTTAAAATATTTATTAAAACTTTTAATTTTTTTTGTTTTTAGTGTTTTACTGTATTAATATTTATCTTTATTGAGAATGTTTTGTCCGTGAATTTTGAGTAAAGTACTCACACTTTGAATTTCAAAAGAGAATTTACCCTAAATAGGACTAAAAACGTTTGTAAATTTCAAAATGGGATTGGCATGTTTTTAATTCCCAAAATGGGACTAATTAATGTCACGTTTTGGCAGTACCAGACTTTAAACATGACAGTATTTTCTAAACTTGATAGTAATTACTCCTATTTTGGGAATAAAAACATGACAGTCCTATTTTGGAATTTACAAACGTTTTTGGTCCCATTTCAGGAACTTTCCCATTTCAAAATTGTGATTATTTTATTAACATACTTATATTTCAAGATGCAATAGTTCATATGAGATAAATTTTGAATTTATATCTCGCAATCTTGATAATGTGAAATGCCTTCAATGCCATGATTGGGAAGGAGATAATATGTGTGTGTGTAATATATATAATACTTACAAATACACTCCCATGTTTTTAATATTTATAGATGCATTTCCATAACTTTAATATTTACAAATGAAATGCATCCCCATATTCGTATCTAATTTTTTTTTTGTTTTCTCGTATCTCCGTTTCTGTTTCTGCGTTCTGTATCGAACTATCAGTTGTACCATGGTCCGATTTGTCTAGTTTGATATGAATTGATATAGTTAGAGCCTGTTTAGTAGCACGAAAATCGGTTGATTTGGCTGATTCTGCTGAAATTTATGAAGATCTGGCTGAAGTGGCTGCATTGGCTGATTCTGCTGATTTAAGAAAAAAATATTTTTAAAATATATTTTATTAATAAAATAAAGGAAAAATTATGTGTAAAAATAGCTAAAATGATGATCTAGAGTAACTTCAACCAAAACAGCCAGAAAAGTAACTTCAGCCTTACTTTTTCTGCTTATTACACAATTCAGCGCGCATGAGCAAAAATTACGTGTTTGGTGAAAAAGTTGGCTGATAAGCCTGATAAGCCGAAAATCAGTGGTTCCAAACTGCCTCTTAGTCTTTGTATTTTATAATTATCACCTAGCATGCACAATTCTTAACATAAAGGCTCCGTTTGGAAACCAACGGATTGCCCCAAACCGCCAATTATATTACAAAGAAAACGCTACGTTTTGTAGCGGGTTGGATGCCATCCGCCAACAAACAAACGGCCCCAAAATATGAACTTATGCATGTGGACTACATACGTAATTAAACAGCTTAACATAGAGATTACTGCATAATACTATACAATTTTTAAAGTATTATTACGCAAAAAGAGTAAAAGTACCTACCATTTGTAAAAGTATTTATGATCCGTACAAGTAGTAGCTATTGGGATTTACTACACATGCTGAGTTGCTGACCTAATGCCCAATATGCTTTAACTTTTCTGATATAAAATGTGGCTGGCATAAATCGGAAATTCCATCCATTCTTTCTTAAGATTCCTTAACCTTTTTGTGAAGATTAGCATCTACCTTTTCCAACACCGAATTCTATCCATTTCCAAACCTATTCTCTTCTTTTTTGTAACTCGCCTTCTCTCTTCTCTCTCCCCTGCCACTGCTATAAGAGTTACTGATGTGATGATGCGAAATGGACACTCACAGAGTTCGATCTCTTCATTATCTACCAGTTTACCATTACAACAACAAACCCTGCTCCCTCCTGCCATGGCGATTCGCCTGTTTCCGGCCACCATTGCCGCCGCTCTCTGCTTCTTCCTTCACCTCTCTTCCGGGCGAAACCCAGAAAGGGATTCCCTGCTTTCTTTCAGAAAGTCTCTTCAGAACCAGGAAATTCTGTCTTCTCTGCCGGAACGGGAAAGTGGTCTCTCGTCCCGCTCTCTCCGGGGGACCTCTGTCACCGTCTCTCTTTCGCATCTTGACCTCTCCATAATACTATACAATTTTTGTAAAAGCAGAGGTTTGGGTTTATCTGGAACTCGCCTTTTTATATATAACAAACGGACGGAAACAATTATATAAATTCAATTTTACCATCTAAATTTGGTTGTTCTTGATGACAGGGAAGACACAATAATGTGGGAAGCGGAAACCGGTGAGGTTCAGTCGGAAACACTGTGAAATCGGCAACGGAGAATTCCGGGAACTCTGCTTCTAAACAGAACAAGAAAGCCTCGACGCCATTACCTGGTCAGGTTTTTCGCATGCCCAATATGCTTTAAATTTCTGATAGAAAATGGGGCATCAGGAAATTCAATCCATTCTTTTCTTAAGCTTCCTTTCTCACAGATTAGCTTTTTCCTGTCAAACCAGCGGAATCGTCTCATTAATGTAAGTGCAATTGGCGTTTTTCATGAGTACTACTGCTAGAACTCATACTCGTATGTACTCCGGAGGATTATCACACAAGTATACTAAAGCAACCTCAACAGCGTGGTTTTTAGCCACCGCAGGATTATCTCCTTACATACGGAGTAGTATATATGGTCGCCGCTTGTTTATAAACTCTACATATTTAAAGTCACCACAACCTGGTAAGCATGTCACTTAATGAAATTTTATATGACAATTTCAATCAAATTGATTACAACCCAAATCTTTACTCAGGCCAGGCGGAATGATATTTATTTTCAGATACATGCATAACCACACAAACTCACGTCCAAAATGAAAGTCATCCCCTGCCAGTGCTACAGTGAACGATTGAGCGGCAAAGCTTGAACCGTGAGACCTACGCGGCTACGCTGAATCGTCCTGCCTACTGCGCATTTGACTTCCTTCTCAAAACCATAAGAGGTAATTTATCTTTTTTCCTTTTATTTTGTGGGCTTGTGGTGTGTTTATTCTTTATTTGTTGTTTTGTTGAAGTGGGTCAACCGGTCTATTTTATGAAGTAGATTGGGATTTGGAATTTGGATGCCATAGCCAGTTTGCTACCGCTAGTTTTGTATGCCTTAAATTAATTTTATTATTGCAAGTGTAATGTGTTCTTATTTTCTTAGCTAACTTGTTTTACGTAGTATTAATTTAACATTGAATGTAGTGATTACATACAAATCAAGACTAATTAAAATATGAATTTATTGTTGGATAATTTTTTGGTTAAGAATGTTAAAATTCTTAATAATACCGAGTAGAAAGTCTTAAAAAACTCTAACCGAAGAAAATAATAGGGCAAAACTATCTCATGTTGAACTAAAACCCGATGATTTGATTGCCGATCCAGATTTACGTAGACCTATTAACGATTTTGATGCTTTGAGTAGACATCTTGTCCGTCGAGAATACTTAAGTAGGAGGGGTCCTTGTAAATGGGTTGACCATGTTTATCCCGAAAAAAGTAATAAAGTATGGGAAAGATTATTGAAGCTTTCAACCCTCTGCGTTTATTTTCTAAATTTATTATCAACTTATTTATTTTGATGTTCATACACTTCTCGGCACTTGTTCAAAAAAACTCTCCTTATCATGCATGTATATGTTAACTCTTCCATATTCTCATGGTTTTTAGAAAAGTAAATTTACCCCTCTCAAGTCTCAAACTATAACATTATGAAATATGGAGTAGTACATTGTCTACTACGGAGCATTTGTTTAAAGGATATAATTGGGTTAAATTCTTATGGATATAGCAGATAAAAGTGATCCATTTTAACATTAATCTATATAGACTCATTTCGATGGATCAGGATCCTCTGCCATAAGGCAGAGTGCCTTGCGGCATCCGACGGTAGGGAGGCGACTAGGACGACCTCGAGATCGGTGAAGGGGTGGAGCCCAACATCTTCGGCCGTCCAATTCCCAATCGAACGGCCCGGAAGAGCCAGACACCCTGCCTTGCTTTAAAGCAAGGCAGAGGCTCCGGATCCCATTTCGATAGGCATTAAAATACGCACATTTTTTTATAGTTGTGGTCAATAATGTATTTAATTAGATCTCTTTGTGTTAGAGATATTTTTATAGTTGTGATCAATGTATTTAATTAGATCTCTTTGTGGTATTTATTGGGTATTGAATAGCCCTATTAAATAGAATAGACTTAAGGCTCTAAGGCTAAATTAAGTATGATTGTATCCTATTGCTTACATTCTCATTAATTAATATGCATTCATACATTTATCCTATTATTAGTTACATTTTCATTAATGTTAATTATACATTTATCATATTATTAATAGTAGTCACGTTCTCATTTTGTTGCATTCTTATTTCTCAACTTGAATATTTGTTACATTCTCATTTTAATATTATTTGTTTCAATCTCAAATTATATTATTCTCGTTTTAGTTACATTTGAAATTGTTAATAGTATTTTTATTTTAATTGTAATACGGAGTGATATACTTGTTACATTATCATATTAATTTTATTTGTTAGATATTAATATATTCTAGTATTAAAGTTGTTAAATCAAAGTGGTGCCGGCCCATTTCCTTCCCGCATCACATGACTAAACTGAATCTCCGTGTTGTCGACAGGAGATAGAAATCACAGATAATGTCCGTCCATTTGCTCCTGTTGTCTGAAATGAGATCCAAGGTTCATGAAGAGTTGGATTCCACCTGAAACCCTGTATAACCTTCCTCAATCACCTAGGTAGTAGCTGGAATGCAAGCTCGGGGTTCAGCTTCTAAGCTCGACGTCGCAGATACAGAAAAGCCGATAGCAGCCAAAAGCTCTCCTTTATCATTTCAAAGAATCGCCCCTCCCGATGCCACACGGGTATAAACGACGCGTTAGTGTTCAATTTCAACTTACAATTCTTCTTCGGTCTTTGCCAACACATTGAAATTATTGGTTTGCCATGCATACGAAAACTCTTCGGTCATTTTAAAGCCACATTTTAGTTACATCTTTACATTATATACATTTTCATATTAAAGTCACATTTTGGTTAAATTTTTACATTAGATACGTTTTAATATTAAAGTCATGTTTTAATATTAAAGTCACCTTTTAGTTACACTTTTATATTAGTTACATTTAAATTGTATTTGTACTCACATTAACATATTTGTTAGAATTTAATATTTGTTACCAAAACATATCTAGTTGGACTGTGCGTTTCATATCTTTATGCTTCACATATAACAACTTCTACATGACTGTATTTTAGATATGATAAGACAGAGTAGCCATAGAACACGTGCTAAAAAATAAAATCCTGTACATAAATATATGGACAAGTTTAAGTAGTCACCCAAAAGAATGCATCAAAAGAAATTATTAGTTCCTGAACCAATGAAGGTCTCGTCCCTAATCCAGTCCATGAGTACAAAAAAGTCTAATCCAAGACCTAATATGAGCGACAATTCGAAATTCAGCCTAGCAGCTGCCGCGGCCCATACTTCAGACTTTAATTACGTAACTCCAAGCCCAGGACTCCAACAGGTATGAAGCCCAGCCAGATCTGCTGGCAGTAGCCCAACCTGGAACGAAGTGATCCATCTAGTGGTCTTCCTTGCCTTCATTACATGTAACATAGGGAATTCAGTTCAGAGTAGTATGACATTGATGTATAACAATCCTCGCATACGACTATTGAAATATAACAATGTAAATTATAAATGAAACATCCGACCTAAGCTTTAAATATACCTATAAATCTTCAGGCGGGGCTTCACAATGGGACTGCTCAACCTCTCCTCCATTTGCACCATCTATTGGTCGAATTGTGCTCTCCTCTCTCAACAAACAATCTGCAACACACTAAGGACTCGCACATTAATTATATAGAATTAAAATTATAGTTTTTGCAAAACTCACCTACTCTAAGTTACCTGCTTCAAATGCATTGTACTTCTTATTCAGATAACACATGTAGGCAATGAAGCCTACAAGGTTTACTATTTCAATTAGCGCAAGGATCCACCAATACTATTCATAATAAACGCCTTCCTCATTAAGCAAAAATTCTCCCTCGGTCATATGGTTCACTATTTTGCCCAACAAAATATTGAACTGTCTTTTGATATCCTTTCCGGCCCTGAACAGGGAGAGCGCCACCTGATTCATGTTTTCGGATAGATGAGAATTAAAAAACAACTCTATATACCCAATGTTGTAGAGCAGCTTTCCAGATCATTGCGCACCATATTGTGGCAGTAGCCACATTCAAGACGTTTGGTTTTTGTGCTCCTTTGTCAAATCTTTTTTTCGAGAAACGTATGCAAAACATCCTCCAACAAATGTTGCCATTGGGTTCAATGATATGCCAAGTCCAAAGATTACGGTCATTCCAATTTTTACCATGCCTTTGATTTTTAATGACTATGCTTACTTATCCCCGAATGAAACAAAAGGTTTGATAAAGTTTCCTAAAAACAAGAGTTCATAAGTATCACAACACTTGTTGCTTTGGGGTTTCTGATGGCCATGTACGATTATATTGGTTCACATAAGAGAAGAAATCATGTTCATGTCCACTATTGAACAGAAAATTGGACTTGGCATATCATTGAACCCAATGGCAACATTTGTTGGAGGATGTTTTGCATATGTTTCTCGAAAAAAAGATTTGACAAAGGAGCACAAAAACCAAACGTCTTGAATGTGGCTACTGCCACAATATGGTGCGCAATGATCTGGAAAGCTGCTCTACAACATTGGGTATATAGAGTTGTTTTTTAATTCTCATCTATCCAAAAACATGAATCAGGTGGCGCTCTCCCTGTTCAAGGCCGGAAAGGATATCAAATGACAGTTGAATATTTTGTTGGGCAAAATAGTGAACCATATGACCGAGGGAGAATTTTTGCTTAATGAGGAAGGCGTTTATTATGAATAATATTGGTGGATCCTTGTGCTAATTGAAATAGTAAACCTTGTAGGCTTCATTGCCTACATGTGTTATCTTAATAAGAAGTACAATGCATTTGAAGCAGGTAATTTAGAGTAGGTGAGTTTTGCAAAAACTATAATTTTTAATTCTATATAATTAATGTGCGAGTCCTTAGCGTGTTGCAGATTGTTTGTTGAGAGAGGAGAGCACAATTCGACCAATAGATGGTGCAAATGGAGGAGAGGTTGAGCAGTCCCATTGTGAAGCCCCGCCTGAAGATTTATAGGTATATTTAAAGCTAAGGTCGGATATTTCATTTATAATTTATACTGTTATATTTCAATAGTCGTATGCGGGCTTTTTACACATCAATGTCATACTACTATGAATTGAATTCCCTATGTTACGTGTAACGAAGGCAAGGAAGACCACTGGATGGATCACTTCATTCCAGGGTGGGCTACTGCCAGTAGATCTAGCCGGGTTTCATACCTGTTGGAGTCTTGGGCTTAGAGTTACGTAATTAAAGTTTGAAGTATGTGTCGCGGCAGCTGCTGGGCTAAATTCCAGATTGTCGGTGATATTAGGTCTTGAATTAGACTTTTTTGTACTGATGGGTTGGATTGGGGACGGGACCTTCATTGGTTCATGAACTGATTTCTTTTGATGCATTCTCTTGGATGACTAATTAAACTAGTCCATATATTTATGTACTGGCTTTTATTTTTTAGCATGTGTTCTGTTGCTACTCTGTGTTATCATCTAAAATACGATCATGTAGAATGTTTTATACGGGGAGCATATATATGAAAGCACGGTCCAACTAAATATGTTTTGGCAACAAATATTAAATTCTAACAAATATGTTAATGTGAGAACAAATACAATTAAAATGTAATTAATATAAAAATGTAACTAAAAGACGACTTTAATATTAAAACATGACTTTAATATGAAAATGTATCCAATGTAAAAATGTAACTAAAATGTGACTTTAATATGAAAATGTATCTAATGTGAAAATGTAGCTAAAATATAACTTTAAAATGACCGAAGAGTTTTCGTATGCATTACAAGCCAATTATTCCAATGCGTTGGCAAAGACCGAAGAAGAATTGTAAGTTGAAATTGAACACTAACGCATTGTTATACTTGTGTGGCATCGGGAGGGGCAATTCTTTTAAATGATAAAGGAGAGCTTTTGGCTGCTATTAGCTTTCTTGTATCTGCGACGTCGAGCATAGAAGCTGAACCCCGAGCTTTCATTTCAGCTACCACCTGGGCGATTCAGGAAGGTTATTCAGGGTTTCAGGTGGAATCCAACTCTTCATCAACCTTGAATCTCATTTCAGACGACAGGGCGAGAAAATGGATGGACCTTATCCGTGATTTCCGTCTCTTGACCGACAACATGGATATTTAGTTTAGTCATGTGATACGGGAAGGAAATGGGCTGGCCCATTACTTAGCATATCTTCACGCGGATCAATTCCTCAAATTTTTGTCTGTTGGTTCTTTACCTTCTTCTGTTATGATGCTTATTATGTTGATTTATTTAATTTCCCTTCTTTTAGATTTATCAGTGATAAGTTAGAAATTGTGCGTCATTTTTATCACAATTCTATACTTATTATCTGCCTAATTAAGAGGTTTGAGTTATATTTTGTGTTAAAAAAGATTTTTATAGGTGATGATTTTATTCGAAGGATTTGAGAATTCTTTGGGCTAAATTTAGAAGAAGACAAGTTGATGTTTTTTTCCCAAGTGGAGTTCCAAATCTCTGACTCATTTTAAGTGGAAAATTGCAAATAAGGCCACATATGTGATAATTGGAATTGGAGCTGGAGTTTATTAAATAAAAACAGACTCCTGCGCAGCAAAACCAAAAACAAAAAAAAAAAAAGAGGATTATTCCTCTAATTGACGGCACTCAGCAATTTGAAAGAAAAAAAGACTAACAAAGTCCAAATGGAAAGAGATGATGAGTCTGGCCCATATAACGGCACCAGAAAAAAAACGCAGAGGGTTTTGATAGAAGGATTCTAGCGGCGAAGGGAAGACCCAAGTGCCGAAGGAGGTCGGGAATCGCTCTGGAGGAAGTAAGACGGACAGGTGGGGGCTGCTTAGTCGCTCATAGCAGCCTGAACGAGGAAGGTTGGAGGCTTAGTGTTGCTGTCCAGCAAACTGGTTGGGATCGGAAGAAGTTGCTGATTTCCATTTTACTCTACCGTAGCAGCAATTCTGGTTTCAAGTTTCTGTTGCGTTCTCCTTATACACCAGTTTTACTTCTGAAATTTCCTTCCTAGAACCTTGAATCATTATTGCTATTCATCAGTAGTATTTTGTTTAGATGGTTGGAATAAATTGCTACTCTAATTTTCTAAGTCCGGATTATGATGATGTTGCTATGATTTAGTATGAATTGTGATTATAGTTATGTCAATTGGTTGAGTTTTATCCATTGTCCTTATTCGCTTAATTGATTGTTAATTTCTGACCAACTTTAATATGATTAATTAAGTTGTTTGAGTGGATTAATAGAGTACATGTCATGCCAATTATTTCAATCGCTTTTGGATGAAAGAATAGATAATTTAATTGTCTTGTTAGGTTGTCTATTTGGTTCTTAAATCGTGTTTCCGTAGTTCTTTTGTGATTAATGGATTTTAACTATTGAATTAATAATTTCTTATTAATTAATAGTTAAAATATGTGACTTATTCTAGACGCCATACGGAATAATCATGTTTTTGCCTAGAACGAACCCTCAATTCTAATTTACTAACTAAATCACAAATACTAAAAATTAGTGACTAAATCACAATGCCGGACTATCTTTTTCTCTTGCTAAATTCTCAATCAATTTTCCGTAAGTTGTTTGATCATGTTATTTTTATTCAATTAAATTCCTTGCATCCATTTTAATTCAAGCTTTACTTTTCAGTTTTAAATCAAACAAATTCAAAATTCACTTTTTTTAGTTAGATTAATTTCACTTTTATTTTTATTAATAGTTTTCCAATTACTTAGTTGCATTTTCCCGTGGATTCAACCCTTACTTGAGCACTGTACTACCGCGACTCGTGCACTTGCGAGGACTTATTAAATTGTCTATCAATTTTTGGCGTCGTTGCCAGAGAATTTCTTTAACTAGTTTTTGGAAAAATGTTAATTTTGTTTTATTTTAGTTAGTTGTCTTTTTTTTTCTCTTTTTTTTTTTCGTTTTTTTGTTGTATGCTTGATCGCAAGTCTCTCAATCGAGATTTGCTATCATTGAACGACCAAGTTGATTTAATTCACAAGAGAACAAAGAGGAGACATGAGTCATACTATGGTGACATGAGTAAATGTGATTGGAGATATAATATGGTGACACGAGTAAATGTGATTGGAGATATAATTGGGACATCCGACTGATTGAAACTGTGCATAATAGATTTATATCAGAACTCATGTGTGCTACACGTGTATCGTCCAGAATATTCCTTGGTGGTTTTGCCTGGATTGACATGGCACTCTATATAGTATTGGTGACGTGGCGGTGCCTTGCGTAGTACTTGATTGCCTAAAACGTCTAACTCCACATTCAATTGCTGAGACCCCGAGTTCTCCGAGGTTAGAGCTCGGGGAGGGTGAGCTTATATTGGAAAATTCATATCTGGTCTTTTGTCCGGTAGCGGTGATTCTTTCGTTCACCTCGGTTGACTTTGGTAGACCTCGTATCACCGTCACAGGTCAGACCTGGTACCGACCCCGGTGCGCTTGAGGTCGGCCTCATATTTCGTCATACCTGGGCGATCTGTGAGATTGATG